CGCTACTTCTGAGAGTTTAGGATCCCTTCCAACAGTACACGGTTTCAAGGTATTATAACAACAGATAATACACTTAGACCTACATGACGCATAACTCCTCCAAGACCACATATCGCGGCGTATTGTACCGCCCACTTTGCTCCTAGTTTCCCAGAGGATCATTTAAACAGGCCACGGTTCCATGACACTTGAACCCTGAAGTGCCAGATTCGTCTAGTTTCATTCTTTTCGCTAGAACCATCTCGCGCTCATTACGAACGGTGTTAAGTCAGGAACTGGTATTTATCATCTGCTACCGCATGGGCATCATATATATTTTATATGAACATCATCCGATGTTTTATATGTTAGATCGACAGGCCTATATGTCAACAGATATGAGTGTTTTTGGCTGCTAACGAAAGTTAGTTTTTGATACCATGCACAAACATAGTAAACATCATCGCTCTCTGGATTCCCAGGATGCGACTGCAACATGGCATCGCTGTGAGCGACGTAGAAGACCTGAAGGTTGTACAGTAGTCTAATAATTTCCAATGGATTGTGACGTGCTGCGTATTCACTGTCGCTTAGTGCATGACTTGTCTTCAATAGACTTAATTAAGCGGAAAAATATCATGTGGATATTTTTTAATTATGTAATATGATATGATTTTGACTAGCGTTTCGGAATCCTCAGAAGTCATTCCGATGTCTTTGTTGAAGCAACAACCGCCGCCATGCGATCCAAAGGCCTGACCTTCGACAGAGACGCCGAACTGCCTTCCGGCACCGTCGAACACATTAGCCGGCCGGCTTTCTGTGCCAAATCGCATTCGGCCAGTGCCAGTTCATCCGTGACCCGGATCACAGTCGTGGTCGTTTTTTCCTCATTCACGCTACCTTAGATTTTCCTACTCTGATCCAGCGTTTTCGAATTGGAATACGTTCAAGTGGCACGGCTCGGAGTTGCACCCTGAAGGCCATGATCGTCGGCCATAGGCCGTTTTTCCGTATGACATCTAAACGACAATGCAGAAATTGACTGACCCGCGACAATCGCGTCTTGACGTGTTGGCGACCCCATTTTTACCGTTCCTTTACAATTGACGTCCACATTCTCAATGTACCAATGCGTTGTGTCGTATGGTGGTTGAAAAACAAAGTCACCGACATAGTACCATCATTCTCGACAACCAGTATTCGTAAATTCCATCTGTTTTATCAGGATCCTGAGTATTTTGCTTTTCTTACGTGGATAGAGACACGCCACATTGGTCACATCTTTCGTATGCTGCACTTATAAATGTAAAATTCAGAAATAACATAGCACCCTGTTTAGAATCTGAAGAAAATGTTAAAATTGAGTCCTATCCTGATGTGCCATCAGTCGATTGAGTGTTCGGCCGTCAAGTGGATCACCTGAATTCGTGTAAGTTCTAGGCAAATCCAACGATGAAGACCAAAATTCATGGGCGGTCGACCGCACAGTTACTGTAAAACAACAGGCCTCCCACATTGTGCTAAATATTATGTTGCAAAGTCAGATATAAGGTGCATCAAGGTGCCCTACAGCATTTAGATGTGTTCGCTTTACACATCATGGTCATACCCATTCTGCAATGATCACACCAGGACACATCTCGTCTCTGTTATAGCTGACAAGCCAACGAACTGCTACCTGCATTTCTGATGGCTGCACAGAAGCAACATGGGATGAATTCCTTGATCAAACGAATAAGTGGTTAAAAGAAACTATGCTTGTTTATCAAGATTTGAACCCTACACCTCTTAAGAGTTGAAGGATCGTCTGTTACCGCTGTGCTATCGCTCCTTGTAGTATTTGATACTATAATGGTGTCAGGTGTTTTTATTTTCCTACAGTGATTGGTTGAAGAACCAATAAGCACACAATGACGAATGAGACAGATTATCCATTATTTGGAATGATACCTGAAACAAGAAGAAGACTAGCTAATATTTACTAATTAAAAGACCGATCACGTGGTTACTCACTAACTCTAACATAGTCTGACAATTCCATTTTCGATCTCCAGCCTGCTCCATGACGCGATAGAATTGTCATCATTAATTGCACCATTTTACTGCAGCTTGGTTGTTAAAAAATGAAGAGGTCCCAAAGGAATGATTAATAGTGGATAGTACA